AATCTTTCAAGGGGATACAGGGATTGTTTCTTACTAAAAATAGGCTGTTTTCTTTTTGAAAAAGCAAAGGTTAACAGTTTTGATTATTTGTGCAGTTGATGGATAAACATTTCACATGGTGTCTTTACATCAAGACATTACATCATTTTTTTATAAATATTTTGCTTCATGTTTACATATGCCTCTAGTGGACATGTCCTGTATACATTTGAGATCCAACTTAGGTTTTCATAATTTTCTGTCATAACCGATGAATATTTACTGTCACATTAGGCTTTGCATTTCTAAGATGTGCTGCTGAATAATTTCTGGGTTATTAAACTATCCCATGGCAGTTTAAGCTTATATAATTAACTAGATGTACATCTGCACGTCCCTTTATTCATACATTTTGAATCATGAATGGAGTACAGGAAAACAGAAGTCTACATAAAAATTAATAAAAGAATTGCAACAAGAAAGATTCTGAGGTTAATTCTGAAGACCTAATGTTGTTTTTGCTTAAAGTAAAGCATATTTTAGAAAACAATCTAGCCATTTGCTCATTGTCCAAAAAACTAGATTAACATAAATAAATAAAGAATACAAACATAATGACCTGTCTCTCTTCTTCACCAGCTCTAAATTCAAAATCAGTCAATAAAACTGTTTTAACAAGCGACTTTCATGGACAGAATTATTTGCAAAGTGCTGTAGACAGAAATTGAATACCATAGAAATGTATACAGTATATTAATATCAGAAGGCAGCTAATAACTGTTGATGCCTTTAAGCAATTCTGATTGTAATTACTGTATACTTCAATTTTGTTCAAAAATAAGAACTGCACAGTACTGCAAAATATAGTTTCAATTATTCTGTTAGAAAATATTTTTTTCCACCAACTGTTTTCGCTTTTCTTTGGGCCAAAATCTAACTGAACTTCTATAAATGATCTATTTTATGTTACTGTTAAGTGTTTGCCCCGTGGTCTTTCAAATCCTCTTGTCAGCATGTACTGTATGGTTAGCCAGCTAATAGAGCTTTTACATTTCTTTGATGTTGTGTTAATTCTCCGGGTGTTTATTTGAAGTGACATGGCTGCATAGCAAAGGTACTTCTTTAACCTGTATTTCAGACAAGCCACATATTAGTAAATGTCTTTGGCTTTAACATGCTTGGTCACCTAACTATACACCTAACTATACTAACTAGGTGCCCATCCCTCCCAAATAAGGAAGTGATACTGGTTGTGGAATGGGGATGACAGAGTTGCTGAGCAAAGATTGCAGGGGTGGAAACACTGATTGTTTGTCCTTTTTTAAAATTCAGAACTATTCGGACATGAATTGCTATCTTTTTCCTACCTTTTTCCTTAAGATTAAGGCAAAGGGATTCCTAGTATGCATGAGAGATTCAGTCTCTCCAAATTTCATTTTGTTGAATTCCGATAAAATGGTAAAATGAACGCCTATTTTTTATCTTCCCAATATCTTGGTGATTTTACCTGGCCAACTATGTATTGTAATTTTCTATTACTCAGTGTGAAGGTTTTTAATTTTACAATTTTTCTTTACAGTATATCTTAGGTTAGTTTCAAAGGCCCTAAATAGCTCTAATGCTTGTTGACTCTTAAGGTTTGTGACCCCACTGGTTAGAGTTTAATAAATGTACATCTCAGTTTTCTATTTTCAGAAGCAGAACTTTCAAGGCTTCTATATTGATTATACAGTACTATGACATTTCGGGGTTATTCATGGCAGCATGGGTGTGATCAGTTATCAATGCCCGCTTTCTTTTAAAAGTGCAGTTTTTACTCTAATTCATGACTTTTCTCCAGGATCTTTTCTTAGAATAGGAAAGATGGGGAAGATCTTTGGTAGAGAAGTTTGGTTTCTTTTGCCTTTCTCTTATATTATTTTGAATTCCATAAGCCATTATCACTGCACAGCTTTTAATATCAGCTACATTATCAGACCTGGACAATTTCATTTGCATATTGACTTTTATTGGCTTTGGAAAACAAAAGTAATTTACCAGTAGCTAATATGTGACAGCACAATATTATCCTGACAGTGTGTTTAATGAATGAGGAAAATTCACTACTTTTAAGAGGAAGATGTAAATATCCTTTATTTTTAACATCTCTGTTTGGTGTCTTATTTCTGTTTTGCCAGAAAGCCTTGAGGGTTGACCACGCAGATGTGTCTTTCTCTTATTTCCGAACAATTACCTTTGAGTTTAAGATATTTCTGCATAGTTGCCCTTTGTGGTGATTTTTAAATTAGATGCATAGCTATTCATAGACAAGTGTTTATAGCTGCAGGAGGCTGGCAAATTACAGTAGGAATGATAAGAGTCTGAGAGTTCTGATAGCCTGCCAATCACTTTCACAGTGCAGAAGAATGCAGAAGTTGCCTTCAGATGTACAGATTAGAGCCTAATAACTACCAACACATGACAAGCTGTATTTCCACAAAGTATACTGCAAGCTAAACGCAAAGCTGCATTAGGAATAGTTTTGTAGTGCTCAGTCCCAGACTAATTCAAGTCATTTTTGTATAAGAGCAGATGATTTTGGTGATTTAGAAAAGAAAAGGGTTGTGCTGTTATAGTGTTCGTCAAAATAATTAATTGGTACTTTGCATTTAAGCAGAGCAGAGATTAATCCATCAATAGAGAATATATTCCCATTGTAGTCCCTTGTATGAGGTATACCGTAAACGGCATTCAGCAGGATTTTGTTTGTGCCAAGGGATGCTGACTTTTATACAGATCAAATCTGTACATTGAAAGAATTGAAAAACTGGGGTTATATAATGTATGCAAAACATGAGAGGAGTGACTGTACATTGTGTACTGTTGTTAAAAGAATCTTCAAGATTATGGTAACAAACCACTGTTTTTCTTGAATTTGTCATTTGTTATTTTTATTCTTCTTTTATTTTATTTAACCTTTTATTTCTTATTTAACTTAAGCATTCAATTTGTTTTTGATCATCTGAATTTTATATTTTCTTTCTGTGTTGTTTATTTTTTTCTAGAACTAGTGTGTCAGCTTTTCTCTCAATATCCTACTCTTTCTGGTATTAAAATTGCTATCTGTTTAAACAACTAGTTCCTGGGTTCAGTTTGAGGCTCCTACAGAACATTTTGTTCTGTGGCTCCACAGAACTCTACAGACTCACTTTCAGAGTGAACAATGAGAAAATAGGAAACAGGATAAATTACAGCAGCTAATACATGGTTAATATTGCACAGTTTAAGATTTGAAACTAAAATAATATATGTACAGTATACACATTCAATATTTTTTTATTAATCTTAAATACAGATACACATACTTCTGTTTCTACTTTAAATTTCACTTCGTCCGGCAGCGTTTTGACTTCCAGGTTTGAAACTCCACAGAAGTTAGACCTTGACTTCATCAGCACCAATGAAATTTCATTTCTCTCAAAACTGAGAACATCTGTCTTTCTCAGATGTTTGTGAGGAAAAGATGAAGGCCTGATAATCCCATTTTCTTTTGAGAAGGCTAGAGAGCAGAGAATGTAGTTTATTTTCCGATATTACATGATATTTGCAATTTAGTGAATGGAGCATACCATTTTAAATGTGGAAGACAATGCCGTGGATGTATCCTTATTTAATGCTTTAAATTAATTTGAAAAATTATGTAAGAAAGGGTGCTTGACAAGAATAATTAAATATATTGAAGCTGTATTTTTTTCTCTTTTAAAAGTTAATTAATTCTCACATACCTTAGACCTTATAATTATATATTTACTGGGGTTGTCCTGCTACCCAGAAACAGAAGTCAGGTCTCGAAGTGTCAAATCTTGACTGAAGGCAGGTGAGGTGCTGCTGTTGCGCAACTGGGCGATGAAAATAAGAATTTAAACCCTTTCTGTCAGTCACTCCATGTTCCCTCTTGCAACTTCTTATATTTGTAGCGATTTAGAATTTGGTGATAATTTAAAATAATAATGATTAAGGATGGTATGGTGGCACAATGGTTAGTTAATTGGCTTCTGGGAAGATTGGCTCTAGGTATGTGATTCTGTGTGTAAGGACTGCAATGGACTTGTGTCTTGTCCGAGGTGTATACTGTCTTGACCTGTTGCTCTGGCTCCCCCGTGACCGTAAATTTGGATGAAGTGGTTAGAAAATGGATGGATTCATTATTTAATATTGACAATCCATATTATCCAATAATGGATTGTTCCGAAGATTTCTACTGTCCTTGGTCATTTTTGCTCATCCCCTTAGTAGCAGCCAATGGCTGGAAGGAGTTAAGGCTGAGCTAGAATGGTTTTAGTCATAGGGTTGACTCGGTGAGCTGATTGACTTCTGTAGCTGATTGACATTGAGAAACAGTGAAATAACATTAGAAAAACAAGGGCAAAAACAACAACCACATTGATTTGACAAAAACCTTTAAACCATCTTAAATTGAAGTTGACTTAACATTTATCATGCTTTCAGGTGAAGGATACGACATTTGTATCCAAGGTCACAACTCTTGAATGCAATTCTTGTACTAAAGGCATAAATATAATAATGTTTATGTCTCAAGCCAGTCAGTGGTGAAGTCGTAGTATTCATTGCTGGCAGGTTGTGGTCTTTAAGTCTACCCAGCTGTATACTGTATTTTGGGACAGCAGTGCTGGGGGGGTAATCCCTGTGATTAACCAGTTTCCCATCCATGGCTGGAGGAAGGTGCTCTCTCTAGTCTGCTTAACACTATAGAAACTAGAATGTGTTCTAGTCCAAAGAGATGTTCTGGTATAAGAACAAAAGAATAAGAATAACAGGCATCTGGCCTGTTTGGTAGTTAGTAGCTTATTGATCTCATAATCTCATCCAGCTTTTTCTTGAAGGAAGCCAATATATTGCTTCAATTACATGGATGGGAGAGCTCCATACTTTGAGTACAGAAGTGCCATTTATTATCAGTTTTAAATGCACTTTCATGTTCTTTCCACTTCATTTCATTGCTTATTTTTATTTTCTTTTAGGTTTGATACGCCTGCAGGAGCTGATCAAAGCACCGTCCAGGTACAACATAAAAATTAAAATCCGGCAGCTTCCCACAGGAAATAAGGATGCCAGGCCATTGCTGAAAGAAATGAAAAAAGGAAAAGAGTTCTATGTGATATTTGACTGCACCTATGAAACAGCAGCAGACATTCTTAAACAGGTGAGCTTAAAGTACCATAATGTTAAGGCTGATATCTTTGAAACATTTTTTAATGCTTAAATATATAGTCACGTGTTGGGTATATTCAAAGTGATCTCAATGTACAAAAAACAAGACAACGCTTAAGTGTAAAAAAGATACCCAGTGCTGCACAGAGGTTTTGACTGTGTATATTTGAATATATTCTTCTGGGGAAAGTATGGCATGTTTTTTATTCTCTCACCACCTTTTATTATTTCTGAAAGTCGCAATATTTTCAGCTTAGGTCCCAAAGTAATTCTGTATCTACTCAGTACGTAGAGAATGTTTTAAGATCTCTCAGAGATATCTTGTTAATTAAGAGCTGTATATCCTTTTGCAGATACTTTAATATCTACAGGTGTGAAACAACAGTGAAAGACAGAGTTAGAAGCTAATTAAGTGGGCCATTAGTTTAATTAAGAGCCAAGTGAAGAAAGTGAGAAAATCGGTCTAGGTGACATTCCTACTGGACCAGGATCAAAAATACTTCTTTTCAGACTGCAGTATTATCCAATCCATAGAGGGAATGGTACAAAAGTACACTCATTTCACTGAGTAGAGAAATGATGTAGATTTTATTGCTGGGTCCTGGGTTCAATTCCTGGGGTACTAGTTAGCATGGAGTTTGTATGTTCTTCCCATGTTAGTGTGAGTTTCCTCCGGGTGCTCCAGTTTCCTTCCACAGCCCAAAGACATGCTTGTAGGTTAATTGGCTTCTGGGAAAATTGGCAGTGGTGTGAGTGTGTGTATATAAGTAGGTATTACTACAGGTATTACAGGTACAGGTATTACAATTCATGACTGTTTTGCCTTCACAGATTCTTTCCATGGGGATGATGACAGAATATTATCATTTCTTTTTCACCACCCTGGTAAGCTGTTCCTGTAAGAGTATACTTTGGCATATGTACTGTATAAATTAAAATAAAAGGCTGTTTTAATTTTAAAAAAGCAAGAATACAGATCTGATTGTGCTGATCAGTTACAACTGAATAAGTAATCAATAAGTACTGTAAGTATCCTAGTAATTAACTCCCAGACTGCCTGACAGAAGTTATTTATACAAATTAAAGGTGTATATTAGAAAACTGACTTCGAATTGTATAACTGCTTAGGACCTGTTTGCTTTGGACCTGGAGCCCTACCGCTACAGTGGAGTGAACATGACTGGATTTCGACTTCTCAACATAGACAACCCAGGGGTGGCTTCTGTCATTGAGAAGTGGTCAATGGAGCGCCTTCAGGCACCGCCCAAACCTGAATCTGGACTGCTGGACGGGATGATGACAGTATGTAGAATTCAGAACATGAAAACCTGTGTTCTGAATGCAGGAATTCCGTTAAAAAATAATAAAGGTGCCCAACAGCCCCAGAAAACTTTAAGTGTCACGTAGTAACTAATGACATTGAACAATGACATGTGCCAAGATTCAGAGCTGGTTAAGGGGATCTGAAGTTTGTTCATAAAGTGTAGAAGATGGTAGCTGGCATTACAAAAGTGACTTTCTGAGCATAGCACTAATGTATTACTTTAATTTTAATATCGATTTGAGTATGTTTTGCTTCAGAACACCTCCATTAATCTTGTTCAGTGACTGGTCACTGAACTGTCAATGCCGATGAAATTGTCTGTTGGTTACTGTTGTATCATATTTGACACGCAATATATTCTGGCTATATATCACAAAAAGCAAACTTAGTCCTGTAATGGCTCACCATTTATGTTGTGTAATGAGATCACCATGTGATTATTAAACTCACAACCGGTTAACACCTGAGAGAAGTGCACTTGTATGCAAAAAATTGGTTCACACATGTAGATGGATTCCTCCCTCTTTGATTGCTTTCAGTATACAAAGTGTATTTGCAAGTTGTTCATTGATAATTCAGCCAAGATTATGCATAATGCTTTGCTAGTCACGATATGGCATGAAATCCAAGGATTATCTGTGGGATTAAAAAAATTGTATAGTATTAACAAAAATTCTAAAATGAAAAGTTCATTTAGATTTTCTGAAACAACATTATACCCAAAGGTACTTGAAAAAGCATAACCCAAATTCAAGTTTTCTTTTTAAATGCATTAAGAGGATAAATGAAATTATAACAACTTATAATAGAAATTCTTCCACTCACCTGTGTATGGTGGCTATAAAAAGTATTTAACCCTCTTGGACTTTTTTACATTTTTTGTGCTTCAATATGGAATCGCAATGAATTTAATTGGGAGGATTTACCTACGAGTGACAGAAAACACTCTATAAAGTGTCAAAGTGAAAACAAAATTCTATAAATTAATTATAGATATAAAGCGCAAAATAACTGGTTCCTAATTTTATAGTGTAACGTGGTAAAATGTGAAAAAGTCTTAGGAGCATGAATACTTTTGATAACCATGGTGTGTACAGTGCAGTAAGTCTGGTGCTTTCCATTGTGAATGTGTCTTTTAAACCTCCCACCACCCCATCTACACCCTGCAGCAACTCCCTGGCTCAATACTTGAAATACAGAAGGTGGCTCTGGGCAGCTTCATCCTTTTGGTGAGGCTGCCAAAACTTCCCACAGCCAGGCGAGCTACTCCGAATATTCTCTGCATAATAAGTCTCCTACATTTATTAGGATTTAAACAACTACTGAACAGCGTTTTGATAGATAATGTGCCTCTTTGAGAACTGCAGATAAGAAGTTTGACAAACATGAACGACTTTTGACTGCAGTGCAAACATGTGTGAAATCCAAAAATGAACTGATGGGTTTTGATCATTTCCAACTAATGCATTTTGCTACTTGTTGAAGTTCCCTTAAATTATCAATCTTAAATCCTCAAACGTCTGCCAGTCTAACATCCTCATGTTCTGGAAATAATACATTTCATTACTGTCATTACTAATAAAAATAAAAGATTTGACTTCTGAAATGCAGTTGTGTCACATCTGTAAGCATGTTAGCAGAGAACTACTCAAAGTAATCTTTATGGGGTCATGACCCATTATGAAATATTATGGACACTTCTGTAGAATTGATCTACTTTTATAGTTGCCCTCAGTCAACGGGCCTCAGAGGTTGGTATTTGACCAAATAGATCTGTTTGGTAAAGCTGTGGTTTGTCTCTCGTCCTTGTCAGTTACCCAGAGTATATTCTTAAGATAAAAACAACAAAAACTCTAGTGTAAAAAAGAAGTCTATATACAAGCAGTTTTCCAAAGTGCTCTGTTATGTGTTAATTGTAGCCTTGCGTAAGATAAGTGGAATAATTACCAAATCTTATTTGGAAAAGGAGAATTGCATGACACACTGAAAATAATCATTAGGCGGTTACGGTTTCAAAACTGTACTCGTTTGCAATCGATTTTCTGACAAGAGATGTGAACATTTCCTGCTGTGGGGCAAGCTGATAAACAGTGTTGTCTTTTCAGAGAGATAAAAATATGACTCCTAGTCACATAAACCCTACCCCCATCCTAAAAAAAACTCTTCATTAGTAAGCGGCACATCATACACAGTGGGACATTGAAGGGAAGATGACAAGATGGTCAATTCCCTCCACTTTTCTTCATTTCTTGGTCTCCCTGAATGGAAAACTAGTTTAATATCATTTTAAAGCCATTAGTAAGGAAGATGTATGATAAGTGTTTTTATGCAATAAGCTAGTGCTTTCTTATTTTACCTTATTATGGTTTTGTAACTGAGAGTACTTGTTTGTTCTGATGGATAGCATGGAGGCACAATGCACTAAACATCATATTGCCTTTTAAAGTACTTCACTTAATCTGTGCTGAGCTTGTATTTAATAACCTTGACATTGTTTTGCAGCTTGAAAAGTTATTCTGTATCATGGCAGACTTAAATTCCAATCTACTCAGAAACACAAGGGCGGATGGAAAGATTTAAAGCCTAATCAAGAGAATAATTTTGCCATGCCCTGCCAAATTCTCCTTTGCTTCAGTGCTACCTAGCATCAAATGAGGGCCAGCATGGTGCTTGCATTTTATGATGTTCATCATTAAGTGCTGATTTGCTTGCAAAACAAGGAATAAAGCAATCTGGAATGTCTTGCTGCTCAGCAGCTGCAACAGCACTAGTCCCTTGGGTTGTCTTTCTCTGTTCAGAATCTTTTAAACCTCCTCATGCGTGCCAGTTGTGTCATTGTGTGCAACACTTTTTGTGCTTTCCAGACAGAGGCTGCCCTGATGTATGACGCTGTGTACATGGTAGCAGTAATTTCGCAGCGCGCCACTCAGATGACGGTCAGCTCTTTGCAGTGCCACAGGCATAAACCGTGGCGATTCGGCCCAAGGTTCATGAATATGTTTAAAGAAGTAAGTGCAGCTTCTGTTCACAGGTTCTCTTCCCTGTCAGGTGGACATGTGTATTTCATTTAAATGTGCTGCTTATGTATTTTATGAAATGAAAAATGAGACACTATGCTCATTTAAGTCCTTGAACATATTTTTTCAAAAAGATGAGAAATAGAAAAGAACATTGCGATTCTAAAAAAAGCATACGTTTTTTAATATCACAATAAGAACGGAAAAAGGATAGGATTTGTTAATGTGTCTCAGAGATAATAATGGAGAAATGTTTAAACAAATAGAAATAACCAATATATTAAATACGTGTTTCCCTCAGGTGTTTATCAAGAAAATAATTGACAGCAAGCCTCAGGCTGAGCAAAGACAAATGTTCTAAGTTAAATATGGTTAGACACAGCAAGGCAACTCAAACTTGAGAAGTAATGCATCAAAACTCAAATATCTTATTAACGTTTTCAGTCTGCAGGCATTGTTTGTCAAATTAAAAAAATGATATTAAATTACTGAGAAAATTAGGTTGTTGACACTATAACATTTTATGCTAATATTAAACTGTGCTTTAATACTTTAGAAATGTTCACCATTCAAATGTTCACCTTCATAGCCTCAAGTATTCCAGATTTCCATACTATATGTTCACACAATAATAATGAATTGAAATATTCTCTTCAGAATCTCTGCTGTAATTTTTAAAGAATATTGCAAGGGAAGATGCCTTGACTCTGGACTGTAAAATACAAGGTTGATACTCAGAAAATGTTCATTCCTTTTGCAAATCCCCTAGTTGTTACTGTATTTCTGAGAGCTGAGCAATAAACTGAGAGCTTCTTTTATAGCTATAGTGCTAAAACAGTTTTTGAAATGTAAGATTCTTTAAAATTAAAATGTTTGATAAGGAAAAATTATAAACCCTCCTCCATAACAATAGTGAAGTAAAGTACATAGCAAAATGTGTATTTTGTGCTCAAAGAATGCAATACTGTACAGTACATAGATTCACAATATTGCATCTCCTACTCCTCTACTACATATTTCCATGAATATACTACCCTATTTGTATATATTGTAATAAATGATGTCAACTAAGCAAGATTAAACTGCAGGAAAGTAAGGTCAATTTTAAAGAAGTAAATGCAGATGTATCCCAATTCACAGTGCAACATTACTTTATCAAGGTGTTTATCTTTCACTTACCTGTTCTATCCTAACTTAGCAGGTTACCTCTAGATTCCCTTCTCCAATAAGCCCTCCTCAGCCCCTATGAAATCTAAGTCAAGCATCTATTAGAGACATCTATCAGTTTGAAATTATACTTTCACTTCAATTCTCATACCTGAAGAAGGCTCGACAGCCAAAACATCGTGGTTCTCCTTTTTACTTGGAATTAACCTTCGCTTTTTCCTTTGTAACCAATGCACTCTAACACAGCCCCCCGCTAACACTTTTAAATTATTATCATAATTAATTTAGCTCTTACATTTATTCCAGGCAACGAACATTGGTACCCGTTTATACAGCTGAGCATTCTACCAGAGCAATCTGAGTGAACAGTACAATGGTGTCCCAACAGAGATTTCAACCCACAACCTTCCAATCCTGAGCCCAGAGAAATTATTCACCCTCTAATGTGCTGCAAGTCAATTGTTTGGCAAAATCATTGATGTAGATCCTCACTGAAAATCTGTCACTCAAACCCCTTCTATTAGCTCAGCAGGGGTAATAATGTATATTTCACATCCTGATGCTCTCAAAAGGTTTTCTGCGATTCAGTGCGGGTACTTTATGAATCCATTAGTAAAAGTGAGAGTGACAGTGGCAATCTGTTTCTTTTTCTTTTTGTTTGCATCGGTATGATAAAAATTCTTTTCTCTGTTCAGTGCAAATGCATATATGCCAATAGACATTATGAAGGAGAGAAGCTGTGATGTACAGTACTGTATATGGATGTACCTTTTACATCAGTAGCTCATTGGGAACATGTTGATTGCATTTTACATTTTCAGGTGTGAGTAGTGTTGTGATTTCATTTTTTAAAAATCTCTCGTAAAAATAACAATTCAGAAAGAAAAAAATTATTAATGCAAGAACAGTGAAATCTTAAAGCATATCTTGATTTGGGATCATCTGACATGAAAGACACTATTTAAATGCAAGGAAGTTTCGCGTTTGGCAGGAATAAAGAACTACCCTAACTGCCATACTACTGTATCTGTAAGGACTATTTCTCTCTAAAATAGGCTTCTTCAGTTTAGTTATTCAAAGAAAAAGCCTTGTTTTCAGGAATTCATGATAAAAACTTGAATTTAAGCTTTAAAGAATGTTTTGTTTCCTGAGAATATTAAATGTGGAATCTATTTCAATAAACCTATATGCCATACAGTATATGAACATGTCTCCTAGGATTTATGTACTGTTTACTTTCAAAAATGATAATATATTTTACATTTAAAAGAGAGACCTAATTCTTTAAGCTTAATTTCACTTTAATTGCTTTTTATCTGTAAATACAAATGATGCATCATATAAGAAAAAAAACAATTATAAAATTTAATGTGTCTTGATAACTGAAAAAAAAACAATATTCCAAAGTGTGTCTACAGTGTAATTATAACAAAAGAAAAGCTTATGCATTAAAATGTAATAAAGATTTCTAGTTCGTGTTGACTTTTGTAGGAGAGCCATATTGGTAATGACCATGATCAGCAATGCATGGAAGCGATTGAATGTAAATGACAGATGTAAGAAGAAATGGATGATATGGTCTTTGGGAATTATTCTCACTAGCCTATTATGATGCAGTCTTTCTCATTCAGTCACAGCAGACCTAGCAAGCACGTCTCATTAAGGGTGTTTAGCTGTTCCATCCATCAGTGAGGGAATCTGAATTAATTTGTTTCAGCTTCTTTCTCCTGCAAAATCTATTTTTCAAGGAAAAAATGCGGCAGGACCAGAGCTCATCCCTGTCGCCACTGAGTAATGAAGATTAGAGGTGACTTAGTTATTTAACAGAAAATACTTTATTAGTGGAAGTTGTAATTAATTCATGACTAGCTAGGTTCCCAGTGCTTACCCTGAAGCTTATTAAAACTAAAACGTTATTTTGGACCAGTTCTGAAAGACCCAGCCTCTTCTGAGGAAAGTGTTTTTACAAAAATGACCCAGACTGCCCCAGGAAAAAGGTTACTTCATGTCTGCAGATGCATCTCTCCTTGTAATTTGTCAGGAAACCTCTAAATTCATTCTTCAAGAAGCATACCAATGAATGAAGTTATGAACAGCTAATCTGGAAATGGCTTTGGAAAGATGATGTAATAGCTAAGAGCTAAAATAAATCCACTTTTTCTTCTAGGTGTCAGGTAATTTTTGTTTAATTCCTTCCTATCTCTTCTGGGATAGGAGGGAGCTAAAGCAATTCATTTATGATACATTCACTATCTTTTAAAAGCATTTAGCAGCACTTGTTGGGACGTAGGTTTTTCTAATCATACTGTAATAGTGAACAATCTTCTTTGTAAGAATTTCTTTACTTATCACCTGACTGCCTGATTTAATGAATGTTAATTGAGTATACAAAAAAATCCTACAATGTACATTTCAGGTTGTGCCAAGTAGAAGAAAGATTAATATCATTTGGTACATAATAAAGAAAATATATAAAAGACATGCCCACCTCACACAAGTGTTGATATTTTCTCATTTTCAGTTTTAAACTAAATGCCAAAACATTTTCACAGAGCACAGGTTTTGCTGTCGATATTTCAGACAAACTACAGCTAGTTTATGAAAGAGTTTTTTCAACTTTCAGTAACTTTTCCTCTCAAGATGTCTGTATCCACAATTATTTTACAATTATTTTTTAGGAAAATAGGGGAACCATTTTGCTGAGAAGCAGACATTTTTTTTAAAATAATAACTTCCTATTAATCTAGATCCAGAAAAGGTGAGGAAAAAGTAAACCAAGTTCAAAGGATGACGTGAAAACAAAAAACAATTTAAAATACATTTAAATATTTGCTTAAAATAATTATTAAAACTATCATTAAAATAAAGGTGAGAAGTAACTGTTTTCAGTCAGCTCAAGGAAAGCAAACCACAGGGTTAAACCTAAACCATACAGAAAGCAAACCAATTCTGATAGATTCTCAAATTTTGGAAAATTGTTACAGAAGGTAAGGACTAAAATAAGTTGAAGAGTGTGTATCTCTTTTTTTTTTGCTTTTAGGCACAGTGGGATGGTTTGACAGGACACATCACCATAAATAAAACAGACGGTCTGCGGAAAGATTTCGACTTGGATATAATCAGTCTTAAGGAGGAAGGAACGGAAAAGGTGAATAATTTCAGTATAAAGTAGACTGGAGATCATTGCATTTCTTACATTATGAATTTTGTAACCTATAGAATTGCCCTATCAATAGAATACCTCCAATAGTGTGACTGTAGTCTGCCTCCAGTAGTAATTACATCTGCCACACACCATGACAGTGAATCCACTTAGTGCTACAAGATGTCCAAAGAAATGTGAGAACATCCAGCCAGCAGTAGCTGATGTAGCTCTGCATGAGATGGGTTACTAATGCACTTTTCCTAGTGTGCAAAATAGAGTGAAATCCAGCGACTGTAAGTGTTGTTAATGAAGTACCAGAGGCATGTGTATAGACTTCTAGACTTTCTTTCCCAAAGCACATCACACTAAGGAATAGGTCTGGTCTGCTGTCATTTTACAGCAGTTAGGAAGTATATAGTACTTAGCAAGGATATTCCACATTCTGAGCCATTCCTACAGCTTTGGTCAAGACTGGTTCATCCTATTGAACAGTGGCAATATGGCAATGTCCAAGTTATTATCCCAGTGCACTCACTTTTCGGTTATTAATTGAGTGCACCGGGGGTGTGTACTCAAGACAGCTGTCTGCCTGATATCCAAGTGTTCTAGCAGCTGCATGTGAAGCTATTAAATACGCTTCGAAGATTTTAAAGGAAAGGCATTTCTTAACCAGCAGCAAGTGACTCCAGACAGCAGTCTCAAGGACACACTCCTGCTGCTCTGAATGGAAGCTGAGTTCTTAGAATGAATACCCTGGACTTAAAAGCTGAAAAATATTAATGTTACAGTATATGTACAGTAACATTTATCAAATGTCTGAACATATGAGCATTGAAAAAAGAAGTCACAGTTGTGTTATTTAAACAGCTGATACATCAAATGGTGTGAGTTGCCACGTTTTCTGAAATTTCCACACTTGGCTAAAAAACTAAATCAGCAACTAAGCATAACAACAGAGTAAAAACATGTACTTATACACTGAAAGACATTGAAACCAATAGCAGTATTTGTGTTTTATACAGTGGCATATTGATCAGGTTTAATTAGATGCCTCTCAAATTATTTCAAGATCAGATAAATTATACGGTAGCTTCATTAGCCAGGGAATGCTGGAATGAAAATTACAGAAAATGTGACATGTTTGGTAAGTAACTTAATTCAGAAACATGTTCTTGTATTTTTTTCTGTTTCACAAGCCTGCTGGTGAGAGTTCCAGCCGCCTAAATAAAGTATGGAAAAAGGTTTGTATTGTGACAGATCTGTCACAAAACCCATCGTGGTGTGCTTTCCCTGCAAGTCCCAAGTTTCTAAAGGAGCCCTCTTCTTTTTCCTCTGCTTTTTCCCTTTCCCCATCGGCAACATTAAACTGTGGTATTTCTAACAAGCTCCTCTGGCTGCTTTTAAAATTTCTGGTTAAGTCTTAGTATGCAGCAATTGGGGTGTCAATTCTAGGTCTTCGTAACCCACAGTCGAGCATACAGTAGGTCTTTTTAAATCATTTACATCTTAAAGAGCTATAGAAAAGGGCTTAATGAATCCAAATTGGTTTCAATATTTTGATTTGTTCAGTTCTACAACCTTACAATTGCAGAGCTGAAAACAAAATATCTAATCAGACAATTGTCAGTTAACTCAGGGGGGCAATTACTGTAAGTATTAAAGACCTCTGACCTAAAATAAACAGTGGATACTAAGGTCATTTGGACTTGGAATGGAAAGTCCTATACTAAAATGAGCTCTTTTATGGAAAATGGCACCCATAGTCCTTTCTGTGAAATTGAATGTGCTCCAGAATGTATTGCAGTAAGCACATACTGTAGCACACCATAGCAATACTAAGAAGGAAGTGGGGTTAATTGTATTAATTTTTGAAGTTTTACAATGTAATGTTATGTACTGTATATCTTTAAAAAAGTCTCATATTCTGAGTAAATGTCACGTGGAGCACAGGTGTGCCTCAGGCAGTTCCTTTTATTTTGTGTTTGCCGAATGGTGATTGCTAATATCACAAACTCCCATGAATACTGACTGGATTATTCATTATTTTTGTACCTTGGCAGTTTTTATTTTAAAAAAAAGCAGACAAATGACTCTTTATTTGAATATGTGACCAAACATCCCCTGCAATCCTCACCAAATATTTCTGGAAATTGACATTATTTGGGGTTTTCCTGAGTGAATTATGAGTTTAGTAGTTTAAATAAATCTTAGTTTGCTTCAGACATATCTGCAGTCAACTCTGAAAAATGGGTAAAGTATATTACAGCTGACAAGACCAGAGATCTGCAGAGACGTGTACCGGGCCATTAAGAAGAAAAGTACAGATATATTTTCCTTAACTGATGCCCATAAAACATCCAGGCTGTCTTGCATTTGAAGAATGTGTTTCTCAAAGGAAACAATAAATAATCACTGCTGTGCCCAGGTTTATTGTGTTGTGTGGAGAGATTATAGAGAATAGTAACCCAAGAAAGACCTTATACATAGTAGTTCTTTATGCTGTGAACACAAGTACATCAAAGGCCACACTCAGGAACTAATCTTGGCATACTTAGATAATCAACCTTCCACAAATCTTTGTGCTGCTAAGAATAGAATTATTCCATCATTTACAAACATTTCTTGCTTACCTCTACCTCTACAACAGTTTTCAAAGTGCGTTTACTTTGTTTTAATATGCTGTACTTTCCTACACTGGTGAGGACAAATTACAAAAGTTTTATTGAATGGGGTTGAAACAGATTGTTATCTTAGATTTATTACATAATAGATCTCCAAAAAAAGAGTAGACTCCATATATAACATCCCTTTTTTAAGGAACAAGTAATAGGTTTATTCCATGCTGAAAAGAGAAGAAAGAAAACACAACGTTTCGGACATGGAGCCTTCTTCAGGTGTGAGCTCACACCTGAAGAAGGCCCCACAGCCAAAACGTTGTGTTTCAGCTACCCACCTGAATCTCTTTTTAAGAGCCTTGTTAATAAATGAAAGATCACATCATGTGATGTGAACTATTGACAGTGCGTTAAATGGCTCATGTAATGGCTTTGTCTTGTGGAACAGCCATTCCAATTCTGCTAGTAAAGTTGCTTAATTATTGTTGGGGTAATTGCTAGAATTTAGTGTTTATGTCTTTTTATCCTGGCTCTGATTGCATTTCTAGTATTCTAGTACTGTGATAAAGCTTTTTTTAAATATATTTAATTATACACTTAACATATACTGTACTTCAACATTTTCTACAGTGACGCCTTACTTGAATAATGCAAAACAATCACCATAATTCCTTCTTAAATATTACGCAGCACAATGAAACAACAATTCTTTTACAACCGTTTGTCCAAATGACATTACATCCCTGTGCTCACAAGGGTTTCCTCCCACAGTCAAAAGATTGGCCCTGTTGTGCATGTGTGTCATGTCAGTGTTTGAGTTTATCTGCCCTGTGATTGACTGGCTTGCTGTCCAGGGTGAGTCCTGCCTTCAGCGTATTTCTTGCCAAGATAGGCTCTGGCTCCCACGCATCCCTGAAATGGAAGAAACAGTTAGAAAGTGGGAGAATGGATGGTTTATAACAAGACAGTTGCTGTCTAAAGTTAAGAGCAGAAATCCCGTTAGAGAGGAATCAGATGAAAATGATTGAAGACACCAATAAGGACTTGAAAGCTGTGCTGAGAAGGACTTTCTGCAGCTCAGTAACAGTAATTTTGGAATGTTTTAGGAATTTGTATTTTGCTAAATATTTTGTATGCATGTTATTTCATCATGTCATGTGTACTGTTTATTAAGGAGCTATAAAGGTGTTTTCACTCAAGTAATGCCTTATAATTTTTATTGTCAGTACAGGAAGCATTACTTTTAAACACTTAAAGGAAGATTTATAAATGAGTGTTGGTTTGCTTTGTTTGTTTAAGCTACCTAAATGTAAATTCACCATAAACTGCTTTTTATGGTTTTTGGTCAGCAAATGTGCTAGTCAATCTAGAATGGGAGACCTCTCAGGAAAACCAGGTTGCTACCATAAATAACATTACTAGACTAGTAGGAGGCACATTTCACTCTGGACCAGAAGTTTCAAATTAGTGACAGAGAGTTATAGGAGGTTTCATCCTTTGGAATGAATTATGAAATTCCATCTCATTAAAGATCCTATTGCTTGGTTCTTTAGTGTAGGGGTGTGAACCCCCATGTCCCAATTAAATTCTAAATTGACTTGCACAAACCTTAATCCAGTTGATTAAGGAAATATGCCCTGCTCTGTACAGTCTGCTCTGTAGCATTGCTGCTGATGCACAATGGCTACTGTATGCCACTTAGGATTGTGCACGTCAGTGGTTTTTAACTATAGCAGCGTGGCACAGTGGCACAGTCGTTAGTATTGGTGCACTGTTCAATTCCTGGAGTGTTGTTTGTATGGAGTATGTATGTTCACCCCAAGTTTGTGTGGGTTTCCCCTGGATGTACTGGTTTCCTCTCACAGTCCAAAGACATACTGGTATGATAGTTGGCTTCTGAGAAAATTGGCCCTGGTGTGATTGTGTGCATGTTTGTTTCCCCTGTGAGCCTGTAGTTAATTGATGGATAAATAATATGAACAGCTTTTTGGTATTCTTTTGTATGAAAAGAATATAAAAGGATTGCTTTTTTCTGTTCTTTGAGCCTTTGACACTGCAAAAGAAATGGGGAAAAAAATAGAAATTCTGTAAAGCAGTTTGAGTGTCATTGTGTTGGGTTGTTCATTTTCAACGTATCGTTTTTATATGTGCATATACAGCAATGTGATAGCAAATAAATGACCTTTTTAGAGTTTGTCTTGTTTACTTTAAGTTTGGCACTTTTAAATTATTTTATTAGTCTAGACTCTAGAGAATGGAGATGTTGTCTGTGAAAAGTGATAGGTTTTTTATGTATTACTCTCTGTGCTTTAAGTATCTGTGGGTTGTATGTTGTCACTCAGATGTGTTTGATAGGTTTTAATGAATATATTGAATTTTAAGAAAAGAAATATATTAGAAAGGTGACAATCAATAAACATCTACACTTTATTGCACACTGTATCACTGTATACATTGATTTACAAGTTATCACAGTGCACTCAGCCAAATCTTCTGCCTGAAATAAAATGGAAGCAATTGAAAATACATAAACTAAATCAGACGTCTGATAGATCCAGCCTGGGTTTCCCAATTCTAAGAAAATGAAAGGAAAGAAAAAAGTAGATACTTCAAACACATCTAATCTGCCATGTGCCCAAGTTGAACTTTTAAGCGATCTCTCTGTGTCCTAAAGAAGTGTCAGACACATTTCCAAAACATCAGTTTTTACAGAAAATATTCTGTCAGTTTTTCATCTTTGTAAGTGAAATGACCTTCATCCTTGCATTTCTCCTTTCCTTCAGTGACCCTCGTCACCAGGATCTTTTTGAATAATTTTAGGTCTCTTTGAATTATTAGCATCTGAAGAGCTGTTAAACTGTTCCAATTAAGACCAATAAAGAGAGGTGCTAGAGTGAAAACTTGCAGGATTGTCTTGGGGACCACTTCTCCATACCACAGAGAGAACACATATATTCCACATATATAATATATTTTGCATATATATTTGCACTGTGAACCCCACCGGCCTGACTTTTCATTTTTATATTTGATGTGTTGATTTAAATGGAAAAAGCAACAAGTCCCATCCAGTCTTTTAAGCTGTTGAGTCTTGGTATTGCATTGCAGATTGGAGTTTGGAACTCAAACAGTGGCCTTAATATGACGGACAGCTATAAAGAGAAATCAACTAATATTACAGATTCCATGGCAAACAGAACGCTCATTGTGACTACAATTCTGGTAAGTGTCATTCCCGACGTGTCACGGGAGACGAATCCGACTCCTGTGGAGTGTGTTAAAGACCCTATGCGAGACTGTATAATCCGGATGTGTCTGGTGAATGATGTTAGGGAAGGCACAGGGAGGTAAGGTAGGGATGACAGACCAGGGGCGGTGACTGAATTGATCTGGTGCATGGGGGAAGCGCAGTTGAATGAGTCCAAAGGAGTTCCAAGAGGGTGGCGGGGTCACTGTCCATAATCCAAAAAGCCAGGAGGTCCATCTGAGACCAACAATTTCAAACCAGGGAAGAGGGAACTGGAACCAGGAACATGGAGGATTAAAAGCATAACGGGGCTAGGCGCTTCGAGCCCACAACCCAGAGGTCAGGACACCATGCTGGAGCCTATGCCCCAGGGCCACTCCTGGACCTGGAGACTTCCGGTTGTCCATCTTCCAAAGCTGAGCCCAGAACCATGGAGACACCAGACTTAAATAATAAGAGGGGAACAGGGGACAAGTGCGCGTAATGACAAATAACACAAGGTGGGAGTGCCCTCTAAAGGAGGGATGACAATCGTGACACAAAGGAGATAAAGAGACCTGGCCTTTTGTGGAGGAAATATGATCCTTTGTAGAATGTGACTAATAGATTTACCCCGAAATGATCAGAAACAGACATTTCTGCTTTAAATAAAATGGGAAATTGAAATGTTCTACATGGACTGAACAGAGACAATTATGAGGGGACCTTAAACCAGAGATCAAACATGGAAAAGATGTTGAGGTGCAAAACTGAGAATAGAATGCACATTTTACACATGGATCAAGCTGCTCAACTACAGTATGTCATAGAACCTAATAACCTTGCTTCTTTCATGGAAACACTGGATGAGAAACCTGGATCACTTAAATACTAAATAAGCAAATTGGGCACAATGACATGCTCTCCTTTGTAACCTTTGTTATGTAATACATTTTTGTATTACAGGTTCTATTCTGTTCAGTTCTATTTTTAATTAGCTTTGATTTCTGCATTTGTCAGTTACAGCATGTGCAGAAAAGCTGTTGGTAGAAATGATGAGAAAGTGATATTTAGAATACTATAGGTGTCTCTTACTAGAGAGGCTACGTGAGTATATTTTAATGTTTGTATCATAATGGAAGAGGGAAGAGGGGTTAATAAGATCTTTTTAGTGGACATTATTGTGTTGTGTTGTGATGTTGAGAAGATGTTTGGCTATACAGTATATTATTTTAGCACTAATACATTAAGGCTTTCAACTACACTGACTTTTCTATTTTTTTTTTCCGGTTATTTTACAGGAAGACCCATACGTTATGTATAAGAAGTCTGATAAACCTCTGTATGGAAATGACCGATTTGAAGGTTACTGCCTGGACTTGCTGAAGGAACTGTCAAATATTCTTGGTTTTTCTTACGAAGTGAAACTGGTATCAGATGGCAAATATGGGGCACAAAATGACAAGGGCGAATGGAATGGAATGGTCAGAGAACTCATAGACCATGTAAGTAGTGCCATTTTTTACCATACTGATTTCTTATGCTCATGCTTTTAATGGTGTACAAATAAGTAGCAACCGGGGAGTTCAGAAACTGAAGCCAAATTAGCCACAGAGGTTTCTTGCACTGTTTTTAAACTGATTGCATTGTCCATCTTCCTTTTTAAATGTCTACCACCTGCATGTACTTTACCCGGCTCATGTGCCTCTCCAATCAGTCTCTCCCCTAACACACGTTTATCATCCTTCTGTGCTTCTATCCATTTGTTTTTAATTAATTATTTATTAATTAATTATTGTTTTTAACAGTTTTAAACCCATAGACCAAGCTCAGTCACCTAGTTATAAGGTTTTCTCTTGTTCTTCCTATTTCAATGCCCAGTGATGACTTTGCAGTAAAATCAAGGTTTAGAACACCTAATAATAAATTATAGTTCTTAACAGGTTATAATTTCATAGTAAAGGGAGGAAATTAATTAGCTGCAATATAAATTATGCAATTTTTGCATGCCAACAAAAGGGGTATTGAGCCTTTGTAGTGGGTACTTATCTAATAAAATCGTCATTTTATGATAAGTAATGTCAATCGAGATGGTAATGAAAACAGACTTTAAGTACAGAGTAACCAGATTATATTTGGCTTTGCTTTAGCAGTGGCCTCTTCATGGTAAGATGGAGTTAACATGAAATTGCCAAGTGGGAAAAGAAAAGCCAACAAGCATCAGCAACAATAATGTAAAACATTTTTGGAAGGATTATGAATATGGATTTCTATGCAGAGCTCATAAACAATAAGAAAATGTGAAGATAAACTGTCAGTTTAATAGTCTAATACTCCATTTAATTCTAAATGACTTTTATCTCTCACTGGGGGGAGTAGGATTTAAACAGGTTTGATTCAATTTAATTTGTGGGACTTGTTTATGTTTTGCCTTCAATAGGCAAAACGTGCTATCCCATTATGGCATTTTAAAATAATTATCGCTTTTCAGATTATTATGTTTCTGTCCCACTTAAATGTATGTACAGTAACTGTGTAAGTGAAACCATGGCCGGAGATGTAATTATGGTAATCTAATATTTTAAATGAGCACAGAAAAAGCCTTTAAAACCTTGAATGGAATAACACTGTGACACTGAATCAATGGGAGCTCTTGATCAGGAGTCCAATACAGGGCTTCTTTTGCATCTTCAGTGTAAATAAACACAGTTAAAAAGTAAAGACTTGACAAGAAACTAAGACTAAGAGTGTGAGATTGTTTTTAAAAGAATTAGGGTAAATGTATGTGGAAATACTCATATAGGACAGTTCAGAGAACTAACATCCCTTTGTTCATTGATTTTCATAGCAATTAATTATTTGCTCCTACAGATTGCAGATCTGGCAGTGGCTCCTCTCACCATAACCTATGTGAGGGAAAAGGTGATTGATTTCTCGAAACCCTTCATGACACTGGGCATCAGCATCCTCTATCGCAAGCCGAACGGGACCAACCCAGGGGTCTTCTCCTTCCTGAACCCTCTGTCCCCGGATATCTGGATGTACGTCCTGCTGGCTTGCCTGGGTGTGAGCTGCGTGCTCTTTGTCATCGCAAGGTATAGTACAGCCAGCAGAGGGCGCTCTACTGTCTTCCTCTGTTGTGATGAGACAGGTCATCTGGATGGGTAGGAATCAGCACTTGCATTACCTGAATCTTTCCAGTCCTCGTTATTACCATTGGAGAAGTCAAATGGCAACTGAATCCCTTGGACTTAAATGGAACAATTTGTGGGTAGTGCCTAATGTGTTTACCCTTTCTAACACAACATCTTATTTTTACCTGAAACATAATGTTTACAGAAATGAGAATTAACATTATATCCAACTGCAGTGCTACATAAGGACAAACTTCATATATATTCAGATAACATTATATATATGCAAAAGTCTATTAATACTATTAATATGTATTAATAGTCTAATGAGTTCCCAGATTATTTTAAGGAATTAACTTTATTTACAGCAAATAAATTAATAAAGACCCTTAAGAATATTGAGGGAGGAGAGTTACTTTTAGTGCTTTTATTGCCCCTCGTTTATTTAAACAATTTTCAGTCTCATGCTGCACTGTTGGGAGTATAGGGAATGAGAGAAAGAACAGGACACATTCAGCACTATCATACTGTGAACCAAATCTTTTTTTCTTTTTTTTTATTAGTCAAAACAAATTCTTAAATTCACAAAAAATAATTAGAACACAACAAGAAAAAACTATGAACCAAATCTTATTTATCTGCCCCTTACAATAACACAATAAAATAAAGTAGACAATTTATAAAAATAGAGAGCATTTATCTTTGTTTCCTCATTCTTCAGCTTTGTTATTATTGGGCCAGTTACCTATTTATAAAACGCCCCACTGCAATACAAGTAAGGTATACAAAATTCATTCCTACAGTATACATGTATCCACTTATTCTATAATACCATTTGTTAGGCTGAGGAAATTGTGTAAGTTTCCATAAAACTGCAAAAAACTTTAGTTTTTCCTCTGAAACCCTTTCACATTTCACTGTTCATAGTAGTTCTTCAAAGTATTTTTTTCTTACAACAGATTTTTGGGCTAAAGCACATATTCATGGCAGCTGATAAATACATTTATTATATAATTTTCAATAATCGTGACACTACAGAGAACACTGACTAATCAAGAGCATTTCTTGGCACCTACAGTACTGTATATACTGTAAGCTTTGTCTCATGTCATCTAACTCCAAAAAATATTGATCACATATACAGTAAATGTGTGGTTTCCATTTTTACCTTATAGTCTTGAAAAATACAAAAAAATATACATACTTTATTATCATGGACTGTCATCTATATAAACAAAAATATTACATAGAAATTTGTGGGAAAGAAAATTCTTCAGATGGAAAGTACTGTATAATTATGATATTATAAGACAACTGTGATTACAATCAGTGTGCAGCTATCACAACTAAAATAATCCCACCAACAGCTGTCAGTAGCACATTTTTAGATGTAGAATTTTGAGCATTTATTTTGACTGAATTCCTTTTTATGTTGTCCTGAAACAATTTCGTTTATTAACTAAAACCACATAAGTCTGTTAACCGTAAAACAGTGTTAGTTCTCTTAACATCATGTCTCAATAAAACCACTGTTTTGTTCCACTGATAATTCAGGGTTGGCAGATGAAAATGATCTCAGTCAACCTTAACTTACACTTCATTCCTCTACTGACACAATGAATTACCTTGGTGATACTGTGATTATTGCAACTAGATCAACAAAGTTCTCCTGGCAAACAAGTTACAACTTTGATGGTTCTGGATGCATTTCACTTAGGGCAGGGAAAGCCTCAGAAGGAATTAGTTAAGATTTAAAGGGAACTATGCCATTAAAAAATATAAGCCAAAAACCAGAATCCCATGTTATTAATCAATGTGAGAAATGATTATTTTCTTGCCGTAAAGCTTTCTTCATTTAGTTGAACTAGTTCATGCAGCTAGTTGATATGATTGGCACAATTACCTACCACCATAGTGCGTTTCTGTCGATTATTGTTTTCATGCTTGTTTGAGATGATACAATTATTTCTGGAAAAGAGCTGAAAATTTTCAGGTAAAGCAGTGCCTAAGAGAAAAACTGTAAAACATGTAGCTGGAAAAAAGCTAGATTAAGGAATTTAAATATCTCAGTGCTGATTCTGTGCAAGGAGAACTGAAAATCCACTATTTTAAAAAATCACAAACTTGATTTAAAACGTACTGTATAATCTTATTTAGTGTGAGCAGCTATATGCTATTGTAGGTTTAAAAGCATATGAATCTATATTTAGATGCTATTCTAGGATTACAGTACAGAACTGCTCTATGTGAATTTGTAATGTTTAGCAGTAACCTTACAGTAATATTGACAGAATTGCTGATATATTTTCTAAAAGCGATGTTACATTCATGTTCATTTTACACTCATTTTACACTCTGGTCAATTTGCTTTACTTAAAAATTTTAAAACATTAAAAAGCCCAAGATGATCAATCAAATACACCTTACTTCCTCATATCTGAACAGTTGTGAGTGGTAAACTACACTTGAGGTACAGTACCTATAGTATGTACAGTACTGACTTAAAGAATTTTTTAAAGAATATCATTGATGATAAATATGGCTTACTTTAGATGTTATGTAAAGTGATGAAATTATGCAGTTGTACCATAGCCTATTTTCTTGTTTGGAACAGAAAAAATACTGATTAATATTCATTATTTCTGTACTGTAATTGTAGCTGTGTAATGTCCATTCTTATATTGAAAGTTACCTTACTGTGGATAATATGTAAGGCACTGAATTCACACCTATACTATATTGAAATTTGGTGATGTCTATGTAGTCAAAGAATCTCAGCAATGTATATAATCAGCACAAGAACTAAACATTTAGTGTACACTTTCATTTAGTCTGATATTTTTAAATGAGAAACGGTCTTTAAAGATTGTAAAACATCTACCCATTTAATCAGGCTAATAACTTGCACTTAGTATCACTTAATTACTTAAGAAACCAATGTTTCAGTCAAAATGACCACATTCAAATACTCTTCAAATGATCATTTGTTCATCCAGTTGCACATATGTTAATTGCTAACATTCAATTAGTGTTACAGGCAAATCAGCATTGAATAATCACAATTCAGTTTCCAGTGCTAGACAGTGATTAAAAATGGAGCGATCGGTAAAACTGACAATGACTTCAATAGTGTGGAGTGTTTTTAATAAGCACTTTTTTACGGTGATTGCTTTATATTTGATATACAGTGTATAATTAAAGTTAATTAAAATATAAAAAACCTTACTCTTACTTAAAAGTCATTACTTTTATATCTACATTGTTTTAGTTTTTTTAATCGAATACTAATGAATTGTAAAAGTTTTAGAAATTAAACTGTTTCTGAATAACAGAGAAGACAGTACAGAGGTACAGCGGTTAGCATTGCTGCCTCGCAGTCCTGGGGCTCTGGGCTCAATTCTGGACCTGAGGTGCTATCTGTGTGGCGTTTGTACATTCTCCCTGTGTTTGTGTGGGTTTCCTTCGGGTGCTGCGGCTTCCTCCCACAGTCCAAAGACATACTGGTAGGTTAATTGTTTTCTGGGAAAATTGCCCTGGTGTATGTCTATGTGTGCCCTATGGTGGACTGGCATATGATCCAGGGTAAACCCATAATTGCTCCTGTGAGCACTGCGGCTCTCCCGTGACCCTGTAATGCATACAAGTGTTTAGACAATAGATGGATGGGTCATAAAAAGAGTTTTTCAAACAAGAAGGACATCTTGATTAAAAAATGGGCTTTTTAAATACATTGTAACAAAAAAAATAGATTTGTAAATGTAGCATGTGGGAGCTCTTCTTCTGTTCAGCAAACTTGAAAATGAATCTTTGTGAAATACATCCGTGACAGCTACTTCTTCAGTTTTAAGTTTTGTTAAAGCACAGCTGATATAGGGAAACTGGAGGTAAGTTGCATATTGCTTGTGAGTGTTGTTGTTTGTTGTATTGTTGGACATAATATTATTCCAGTCCTCATCAAAAAATCTGTCTAGCCTAAGATGGCTTCAAAATAGGCCTACTTTTTAGGAATCTTGATTGCTAAGTGAAATATGCTGTTCTCCAAACCGGTAGTAAATGTGGCCTCTCATATTTACATCAGAAACGTGTTGAGAATGACTACCAGAAAGGATTATAAGCAATGATCAGCACAGTATTTCAAGGATTAAAAATGACACAGTCAGCTTCCATGAAACGTCAGTACTGATTGCTTCAGAATATTTCCTCAGTCACCACAATACAGCTAGCAAAGGTAGAAAGCAAAGGTTTAATAAGATGTCCATTATTTAGGCAACATTTTGTTTTACAAAATACTGTTATAGCTACCAACTCAAACTTATTTTGATGCATTGTACTCATACATGATTTCAGTTGGTTTTCTCATTAAATTTTGCTGGAAGCACTGTTTCTTTTTGATGTAATGATTTCTGGACTTGTTTTTGTCCACTACCACAGGTTTACACCTTATGAGTGGTATAACCCCCACCCATGCAACCCTGACTCTGACGTGGTGGAAAACAATTTTACATTACTAAATAGTTTCTGGTTTGGAGTTGGAGCTCTCATGCAGCAAGGTACATAGGTCACATGTCAATATTGCACACATCCCATAGTCTGCTGGGGCCTCTGTGCTGGTAAACTCCATTTTCAGTGAATTTACTGCTTACTGTAAAACCTGATCAATGCTTCTTACGTGCCTAACCTGCATCAGCATGCGGTCACTGCACCCAGTTATTCCAATGCCTAGTTAAGACCCTTTTTAAAAAAATTGAGAAGAAAACCTCTAAAAAACAGAAACACAGGTGCATGCACAATTAGCTGATCTGCGATGTACTGTAATAGATGTTCGCTGTCAGCCATCGTCAGGAGTGATTGCATTACAGGGCTGTTGAAAAGACATGACACACACATCATCCATACACTGAATTTTCCCCTCCTCCTTTTTCTTTTCTCGCTGTCAGTTATAAATGCAACACAGACACAGGGATATGCGACTGGACGCCCTTGCTTCTCAGGCAGCGTGGGGGCCGTCGTCTCCATGGCTATGACTTTTGCAAAGACATTCTTGTGACCTGCAGGCGCTATGGGAAACTGAGCATGTGAAAAGCAAGCCGACACCCAGTCAAATTAAACGATTTCAAATACGTATGTCAAGAAATAAAATGTTCTGAGACGGAAGGAGGAGAATTAGAGCTACCCCTGCACAGTTTTTTCTGCAAAAGGATGTGCTGTAACAAGCATGCAAGTGACATCACTACTGTTGTAACTAGACCACATAAGCTTTGAAAATCACTTCCTTAGGTCACTTTGGTATGTATGCAATTCGCCATTTTTATAATGTGGGCTCATGCTTGCATTATAAACGGAAACCTCAATCAAAATCCAATTGTAGCCAACTGCCAGCCGACTGGATCAGGTCTTACAGTATTTGCTAGGTGTGTCCGTGTGGCTGCCCCAGGTGTGAGTGAGTGATGAGAGCTGATTGTGAACCATAGTTTCTGGTAAATGTCCTACCGCATGGAGTTTACCGTCATCCACAGCATTCTGTGGGATGCAGTGTCTGCTAGTTACCACTACCTTGGGTACATGACAGTCAGCCCCAACCAGATTCTGCTTGTCTTTGCAAAGCACGATAAACATTTGTGAGCTGACAAATGTTTAACTCTGTACAAAGTCATGGTAATTGTGAACGTAAGTGCTCTGTCTTATCTATTTAGAAACTAATTAAGGAGAGGAGGAAAAAAGCTAGAAAAGCTAGAAAATGCTAACCCATGCAACTGTAGCTGTGTTGTTCATATCATTTTTCTTTGTGTTAGCAGTTGTTCTGTTTGTGTTGAATTTGGAGCCTTTTTTGTTGGAAATTAAATGTGATGATCAGACTTTCTCTCTTCTACAGACCGTGAGCAAAGTCTGGATCAGGATTGGCTGTCATGTCTGCCATAAGGCACTTAGGAGGCTTCAGCAAGTACTGTCTCTCACCCAGAGTGTTGCTAGCGAACACATTTTGATTTGAATGGTATAGCTTGGGTTTGTAATGTACTGTAGGTATAACGTGCACCGCCTGCGATTAGTCCCTTTAGCACGTACCATTCTGCACACTTTACTTAAAAGTGTGACATTAAAAGTACAGCCATCAACGGTGCCCATAGGAGCCATATGACTCCATAGGGAATATATCAGAAGCAGCTTAGCCGAGGCAGAGAAGTACAACAGTGTCTTTCATTTCATGCCTCATTTCAGTATTACTTTGTAATTCAATCATCCTCATCCATACCAAAACCTTCATAAATTACTCTGTATCTTGTCAACATATTCCTCCTACATTGCTTCGCACCCTTAACAAATACTGGATAGAACAAAAAAAACGTGCAAATCACGAATAATTAAGTCACCACCCTTTATAATTATTGGATCTGTAAATTCTGTGTTAAAGCTGATATCTGCTTCTCCTGTTTTCATATGTCTGACAGCTTTAAAGCAAATTTAAATACTATGTTTTAGTAAACGAATTTAGTTTTTAGAAATTTATTTGGACCATTTCCAATTTACTTGCAGGCCTTGTTATAATAATTATACTGTTTTAGATTTTTGCAAATTAAAGAAAGAAAGCGTATGTTGAAAGTGTGAGTACAATTTTAGGGTTCTCTGCATATGTCTGACAGCTTTAAAGCAAATTTAAATACTGGGTTTTTCTAAATGAATTTTATTTTTTAGAAATTTCTTTGGACAATTTCCAATGTACTTGCAGGCCTTCTTTGTTATAATAATTAACCTTTATTATTATACTACAGTAACATTTCCCTTCTGGAATAAATTACTGGAATACAACCTTTAAGGTAGCTTCCTATAATTCTGCCAGCTTTTTAACTTCCTAAAATGATGCTTGATATGTGACCAAAGACTAGGTACTTTTACACCTACAGTATGTAGCAGATGAATTCATAAATAGAGCTAATATCATACAGTACATACAGTAAAGCAACCTCATTTACTGTATCTCTTGCAAAAAATGCCCACCTATCTTCTATATGTTGGGGAAACCGGAAGGAGACTAGGAGATTGCTTCAGAGAATATGTTAGGGCTGTGAAGATTAAAGATTTCTCCAAGCCCATAGTTTCTCATTTCACCACAGATGGCCATCATCACACTGATCTCTCTGTCTCTGTTCTCAAAGAAGGGTTTCTCAACTTCCACAGCAGAAAGACAACAGAAACTAAACTCATCCTGAAACTAGGTTCACACCTCCCCCCTTCTCTCAATGATAGATTTATTTTCGTGTAATCTTCTCTATTCTCGTGCAAGCTTTAACTTCACACCTTTCTCCACCCCTCTCCACTTTGCACTTCCTGAGTGGCCTCACTACCTCCCCCCTCTCCCTCCTCCTCCACTTTTCCAGCTTTTGTTCTCCCGTGCTATTTAATCTTTGCCATCTACCCTTTCTTTCTCACACCTGAAGAAGGCTCCACAGCCGAAACATTGTGTTCCCTTTCTTTTCTTTTCAGAAAGGAATAAACCCGTTACCTGATCCTATGTATTATAATGCATAATATATATAATATATATACTGTATATTAGTAAGGATTCCCAGTATAATGTTGCAGTGCACTGTTAAAAGCAGTCTACAGCAGGTTCTCTAATTATGTTGGATTAGGATTCATGACCTAGATTTCAACTTATTTATCCAACTTTCTTGTATTAACATAGACAGGACATTTGAGAAGGCAAATATTGTACTCTCTGTATTTAAACAATTATCTTGAGCCTAAATTTAAGGGAATCACTGAGACATTTGATTGTTATTAACACTACTTGTTTTTAGGAGATTCCCAAATGATAAATTAATTTGAGATTTTAATGTTAAGTTAAGGGAGATGCTAGAGGGGTGGCTCACAAAAATAAATAAAACACACATAAAAATGTATTGAACAAAGATTCCCATTCAGTTGAAAATGATTGTTGCAGAAGTTTAAACAACTTCTGAATCTTGCCTCACAAATATCAGCATTATCCCATCCCAGAATTTCAGCTTCCTGGAAGATGCAATAATGCTGAGTATGCTAGACAGTGTACAAATAGCATTATTAAAAAAAGTTTTAACATAACAAAATAACAGGTGATAAAGTTCACTTTCTGCTGACTAGAATAAATAATCTGTTTGAACAGTGTGTGAAGACAAATCTCTACTTTAAGCACCTGTGTCTGCTAAACAAGCATTACTCAGTACTGCTGCTGACCCCATTAAACAGTAAAAAACTCTAGCTGTAGCTGATGTGACAGCTTCATTTCAAGAGATGCAGTACATGAAACTAAGAGTCTAAGGAATAGTCAGCACAAACTGTTAAGTTTTTTCAATTGCTACGAGCAATTCTCTGCTTGGTAATAAAAAAAAAACATCTTGGATTTAACATTGGAGTTCAACACTGGTCTCGCTGAAGAATTTAGAGATGCTTTGTTTTAATGTGAATTCAGTGTTAACCACATTGTACGGCCACAATTATCATGTACATCTTCATTCATTTCATTCACCTCCACGCATGTCTCAAACATGTCTTCATAAATAGTCCTCTGTTTACTCGATTTAATGAAAAGACCTGAACCTGCCTTGTTTTAGCTTGCTTAATGTGCCTTGTTGTGTTTACTGTAGCAAAGCTGTCCATACCTAACAATATATTATTGATGCTGTTGTAACAGGATCAGAACTGATGCCCAAAGCTCTTTCCACCAGAATAGTTGGAGGAATCTGGTGGTTTTTTACTTTAATAATAATATCATCCTATACTGCTAACTTGGCTGCCTTCCTGACTGTCGAAAGAATGGACTCGCCCATTGATTCTGCTGATGATTTAGCAAAGCAAACTAAAATTGAATATGGGGCTGTAAGAGATGGATCAACCATGACCTTCTTTAAGGTAGGTGTAACATTCTGCTGCATCCAGTTTTTCAGTCTTGTTTCAGTATTCATGAGATCTATTGAACCAATGAATAGATCTTACACCGAAATAATATAAGGTGAATTGTAACACATAGGGTGGTTAGACCCCCACATCCCATGTATAAACTGTGTGAGAGTGATGCAATAAATGTGTTATCTTTAATTATAAACTTACACAGTCACTGGGCCTCTCATGTTGAAATACAATGAATCAGCATGAAATATTGATTTACAGGAATCTTTATTTACCTTATCAGAACAAAATGCAGTAGAAGGCTTATTTAGCTACCATTAGACTACACACCTTTCTTGTAAAAATACTTCTATGTTGCTATTCTTTTTTTCAGCACTAAGGCACAATCTTTTAAGCAGTTGTAATTATATTATGTGGGTTGCAGTCAGTTTTTTTTACTGTTTCTGTCAACAGCAGTTCAATGAATTTAAATTCTGGTGAGACTAGCACTCCAGTTTTAAAGCCCGTTGTTTGTCTTTCTCATTTAAGTCATTTGGTGTTAATGAGGCATTGTGTATAGGGCCATTATCATGGTGAAAACAAATCTTTCAGGCACAAGTCAGGATCCCAGGAAAGCCACAAGAGACAAGTGTAATGATAATGTACAGTAGTTGTCTATTTCTGCAGAACAATCTGAGTCTCAAACTGAGACCTTAAACAACTTCATACTTTGTTGCAGACACTACAAAACATCTTGACAAGGCCTTCCCTCTTTGTCTTCCTAGACATTCATTACTTTTGGATGTGAAAACTATTCGCATATTGTTTTGAACACATATTCTAGGCCTCTCAAAGCTCTTTGAGCAACAACTCTCACATCACAATCCACATTGATTTTTCTTCCTTTGACAAGGAGAGATCTGTTGTGAAATAAGGATCACTGATTAGGAAATAGTAAATATTGGACACTGAACATATAGTTTTGTCTTCTTGCTCGGATATCACATTTCCCACTTACTGTACCTTAGGCTAGTGCCTATAGTTCAACATGGATGCTGAAGTGTTAAGTTTCTACTGCATGCCACTGAATGAATGGAAAACAGAATAAGTAGATTTGTAAAGGTACTGTATGGCAAAGATTCAGTTGTTAACTGTCATATACAATATGGTGTTTGGGAAAGGGTTTTTAAAACACATTCAATGTTTAGCAATGGCTTTTGAAGTAGGTTTGAAGCAGGCTATGAAAGAGAGCAAACATGACAGTTCCCTGGAAATTGTTAGGACATTCTTGATATTAATTGGTGACAGAATGCCCATAGCACGTGAAGCTGTGATAGCTACAGAAGCATGAATATTTTGATGAGTGTGGTTTGTACCACTTTGATGGATTGGCATCCATCCAAGATGTATCCCGCTTTGCGCCTGGTTGCCATTATAAGCTTCGGCTCCCCCGTGACTCTGAATTGGATGAAATGTTTCGAAAAAGGATGGATGGTTTGTACCAAATTATAGCAAAACATGTTTGCAGGTGCATTTCCCTAGAGGATCGATAAATCAATCATTTTTACTGTTTCTTTTTTCCTTGGTTATAGTTCAGGAAGGTTTCACCAACAGTGTGTACAAATGTGATTATTAACTTGTGTGAGTAATCTCAGAAGAAAGAAACCTTTCATCATAAAGAAACTCACAGACACAATGGGATGAATTATATATTAAAATTAAAAAAAACGCATACAATGAGCATCCACGATACAGTACCTCCTACATGTTCTGTTTTAGTACTAACAGCCAGTTGTTTATTTGTACAGTTACTGTACTGCCACTTACACTACAATGCACAATAAACTTTTTTCCCCACAGTGTGCATTTTTTTAAACCTTGCAGGGGTAGCAAAGTTGTATTTTTTAGCTAGTAATCTAGCAATTCCAAAGTTAGGAGGTGTTTTGGTTGATTTTAACAACTTAATGGTAAAAAGGGCTATAATTTCTCTCAGTTTGAATATTTTTTCTCGGACATAAGCAATACTCTTCTGAAATTTGTCGATGCAATGTTACAACAGCCATACATCTTGTCAGTTATCTCACAGTGTGATGATTCTGCAGTAGGCCTGTTAAACGTTTTGTGTTTATAGGCAATCAAAGTTGAAAGCTGTAGGGGATTTATAGCTAAAGAACCATGCCAAAGATTACCACCCCCCCCCCCCCCGTCTCTATATACAGGCTGCAGATGTATATGACAAATTGAATCAGCTGGAGGAGAGTTGTGTGCAGCTGTCAATCTTACTTTGATTGAGTACCACAAAGTATATGTGATGTGATTTCTATTTTGCTACGGGCAAAGCAGACACACAGTGGGTCTGGATTCTAATGTTTTTATAAGAAAGTCAGCACATATTTAACTGGTCATCACACATTCACACGTCCAAATACTGTCCTTATGCTTCTACTTCTACTGAACTCAGATTCAGTGCGTGAAAAACCTTATTGTAGGGAAATATATATGTATATATTATATTTATATACAGTATATTGTATGTCACTGTATGGTTATACTGAATAGAATACATTATTAAAAAGGCAGATTTCTATTTAAAATATACCAGAAAATCTCGAAATCTCTACAATGGCGTTTGCACTTCTCTGAATACAATACTTGAAACTGTTTTCTTTGTTGTGGTCTTTCTGTGAAAATGAATTGTGGAGGCACTTCAACCATGGGATAACCAGATTTTATTTTTTTTCCCTTTAGAAATCTAAAATTTCCACATACGAAAAAATGTGGGCATTCATGAGCAGCAGGAAGCAGACAGCCCTGATAAAAAACAATGATGAGGGCATTCAAAGAGTCCTAACCACTGATTATGCACTATTGATGGAGTCTACCAGCATTGAATATGTCACACAGAGAAACTGCAACCTCACACAGATTGGGGGCTTGATTGACTCCAAGGGCTATGGTGTGGGGACTCCCATTGGTAAGACTGGGCCTTAAGGGTTTCAATTAATTATGGATGTCTTCACTCATTTTTTGTCTCTTGTTTCTTTTTCTTTCTTTTGTCCTGTTAAACAAATTGAACAACAGCTGCTTTTGTTTTGCAAGATCTCTTGTATTTCTATACTAATTCTTTCATCTCTGTAACCCTGGGTTTCAGTCCCAATGAATTGAACAATGATGTGATTTGGACAGCCTTAGCCTGTTTCATCATTAAGACTTAAAAGTAGAAAGCTGTTCTTTGCAGTTGTGCAGTGGATAAAGGGAAATGCTGAGGTGCACCTGTGTGGTTACTAAATCAAAGGACTGGATTTAATTACTCTTTCACTGTGGTGTTTTTCATTTGTATCAAGAAGCTCAAAATATGCATCCAATAATATCACTGGTCATTCTGTATAAAACATGACAACGATTCTCATAATATATCTATATCCAAATTCTTAGTGGCTCAAAGGCCTGATTTTACTTCCAGTGTACAGTATATGTGTAAAATGACTTGGTGGACATGAAAAATGTCAGCTGTGTTAGCTATCAGCTTACTAACAATAGTAAACTGTAATGATTGTAAATGACTACATTGGATAGACGGTGACTTTCCGGGACCCCTTTTAAAGTGTACTTGTTTCATTTTGAGCTGCTGCACTCTAGATGCTGGCTGATGGCATCAGCATGTAAGCATTTGTACACTGTTTCCAATAAAAATAATAAAATCAACTGGGTTGATTTTAAGTTCCTGCTGGTCATCTCTTCCTTTAGTCCTGCGTAAGCATGTTCTTCAGTTTCCATGATCAATATGTCATGAGTTCAAGTGTGGGTCAGGGCATTGTGGTCTGTGAGTGCACACACCTGACCTAATGCCTAGGCTGGGAATTTGTTTGCAATGGCTCTCTCAGCTCCCAGTCTTGTATTGTCTTGGGCACCTGCAGGCTTGTAGTGACAGTAATAAGTGCCACTCATCCAACTGGGGCCAAGTCTCCTGTAGGCATCTAAAAGTCACTGTAGAGGTTGTTGAGTGTGGAAAGGTGAATTGCCCTATGAATAGCCTGTTTTTGCTATCTTCTTCTTCCTGTGTCAGTACAGGTGTCTTTGCTGAGAGTAGGCCTGTACAGACACAAATGGCGGTTCCCGATTGTGCGGACACATAGTTATAAACATAATTGACAAGTTTTCTTTACAAAATTTGGAAACCTTGTGTGATCACCCTTATGTGTAAGCTGCTGTTTATGAATAGGTCCTAACTTGCTTTTTGTTTTGTGTGCTCTTGTATACTTAGGTTCCCCTTACAGAGACAAGGTCACAATTGCCATCCTTCAACTGCAAGAGGAGGGCAAACTGCACATGATGAAGGAGAAGTGGTGGCGAGGCAATGGCTGCCCAGAGGAGGATAGCAAGGAAGCCAGTGCTTTAGGGGTGGAGAATATCGGAGGCATTTTTATTGTGCTGGCAGCTGGACTTGTGCTTTCTGTCTTTGTAGCCATTGGAGAATTTATATATAAATCCAGGCAAAACACGGATATTGAACAGGTGAGTGTGGGGCAGTGCGCATGGCACAACAGATATTGATGTGCACAGCCTGTGGCAAGTGCAGCTTCCGATGGCTTTATGAAACCTAAAAAAAAAGAGCTAGTTGTTGAAGCTGCACAGAGTATGCATGATAATATACAGTACAGTCAGGAGAGCACAATTACATTTTTGTTATGAATGTTATTTCTTTTTAATGAAGACTGTTTTATCAGGCCAGCAAAACCATTTTATTTCACTTCACTGATGTGAAAAACTGCATCCCCGATGGCAGACCCCTCAGTTTTGACCATATTACCTCCATTTTATAGTTTCCTTTTAAAAGTATAACATACTAGTACTTTAGGCTTCTATAACTATGTTGCAACGACACTTATATTGAAATTATGAGATGCAAGCATTTGTAGCCTGTCTTACGCATGCTGTTTTCCACTTTGACAATTTTTTAATAAAACATTTACACAAATGTGCAAAGTGTACATTTGTCTGTGTTGTTAAGTCAACACAGATGTACTGTATGGTGAGTAACTGATATTATGGATGGACAAGGACATATACAGTAAATGTCAAGTTCTCATTTTTTTTCATGCTAGGATTGATAATTTGATTCTAAAGAAATGATTCCCTGGGATCAGATAGTGTTTAGATATTTAACTTGTGTCAGCATCTTTAGGATTGCCAGCTTTTGGTGTTTATTTCCTATGAATATTACTTGCTTGTCTTTTGTGCCTCCAGAGTGAGTAAATTAGTGAGATAAACTTAAAACTCAAACTCACTGCACAAACATGTGGTACATTGACAGAAGGTCCTTGCTCAAAATGGTTCATTGCTCTATGTCCTGTGAACTGCACTCTTTTTCTGGAACAGAATTAATTATTTATTATTTGCTCATTTGAACAATATAGAATTTTTCTTGTAATGACTATATCCTTTTTACATTTCATATTTTTAAGGACAATGTAACAAAAATATCTGGTCTCATTTTGTCATTGTGAGACATGCGTTAATTAATTAGGGAGCTGAAGCATTATAAAAAAAGTGAATTAGAACTTCAAAGACAGGTAGAGAGAGCAGAAATGAAAACCAGCAGCTGTCAGCCCCAGCTATACAGTATATATTTCAAACTCAAGTTCAATATGCTATTGAAATAAATGCAAATGTTCTCTGCACACCTCTTCAACAAAGACATGAGGAGAAGTTACACAAATATTTTCGGAAGCTTGGATCATATTTTGAAGTGATAAAAGAGAAAAAAAACAACTTTCCCTTAATTTCTCAGTCTGCTCTGTTGACTAAAGACACCACATGGGAAATAAGCAGAAGGCTGAGCTTGAAAAGAAACTCAGTTTGACATTGAGCTTTTACACCAAGTCATTTTGCATGTGTATCCTTTGCTTTTGTATTATCTCCAATGCTTTTGTTCATGAGAAATGCACGTTTTGTTTTGGCTTGAACATTTGTGACTGATGTGATAATAATGCCATTGAATGTAATGCTTTTTTGATTTTTTTTTTCCTCCTGTGATTTTGCTATGACTCCTTTTCTGTTGTTTATTCTGCATGCAAGGCCTTTTGTTTCTTTTATGGAATGCAATGCAAGCAAACGCATCCCTCCAATTCCACTTCTGGAACCACGTTATCCACGGAGTTAGAGTGCAGGAAGCTTCTCCGGGAAGAATTGGGGATGCGACCTCAGCACTCTATTCGCACTGTCTAGTCGTTGTGGTGTGAGGTGTGTCTGCCAGCTGCAGATGGGTAACTCCTTATGTCAAGGAAAAAGATGGGAATGAGCACACCTGCACTGTAGATGCTCAGATTGTGGAATTCCTAAATTACGTTGAAAAGAAGAATGTAAATTTAAGAGATAACAAAAAAAAAATCATTATCACTAATATTTACTATTGGCACTGATTGGTTACCAAAGCCTGTCTCTGGCCAGACTGAGATACTGTACCTATTATTTTGATTTCTCCTAGAATCCTATTAGATCATATGGCCACTATTTGGGTCATGGCACCTACACTGTAGATGCTGAGCTCATACAATCCATCACATTGGGGTCTATTCTCACCCAGTTTGCTCCAGTCTGGTTGTTTTTTTTAATTGTTTTGTCCCTCTCCTGGTAGAAGCTGTATTTTTAAAAGCTGTTCTAATGTAAGCTATGGTGAAGATGGTTGTGATTGGTTGATATGGCTGTCCCTGCAAAGCTTTTGTGTTCCCTAAGGTTTAACTTCATAGAAAACAACTGGATTCCTTTTGTCAAGCACTGGTACAACGGTGGGTGTAGTAACATATAGCCTCAGGAACCAGGCTGGTCTGATAAATGTCCTTGTCCTTGAAACAGCTACAGGTATGGAAAATTGCCCCCAAAATCTAAAAAGAATAGATGTAAATAGAAATTAGGTTATAAAGAGCATTTTACATTGTCCTTTCCAGAAACTGAAAAAGACTGGAGCTTAAATATTTGAGAATAGTGCTCAGTGCTTTTAATGCTGCGTTCTTAAGTAATATTTTCTAATATAGAAAAGAAAGGATCTTGTAAAAACTGGAATCTTTCTTTGTTTCACAGAAGCATTTCAATAGTTTAAACTATGCATTTTTTTACACAATCATTAATCTAGTTTTTTACAGATTTAATTTTTTTTTATAAAATGGATTTTTAAAATAGAATTTATACATTCAGCTGAACTTAAGGGACTTCGCAAAGCACCGTAAATTGTAGAATTTTTGGTCTGACATCTTGAAGGGTACAAAACCGAATGTTTTTAATGGTAAAATGTTTTCCGATATTTTATCAATAAGATTACAGGGCAGACTTGGAGTCTTCTCGGTTTCCAAATCTACTGTTGTGTTAATAATCAGTCCCAGACTTGGACAAGTCAAGATATAATTTTTCTACCAATCATTTGAAATCTTTCTTTTGATTATTTTTTTATTAAATGAAAAACTGCATCTCTCACTGTTAGGTGTGGCAATATAACATTTCATCTGTCAATCAGACAAAGTGTTTATAAGACAGGCCTCTTTTCCATCATCTGCAAGTCATTGGGCACCTTTTGATAAGTATTAGGCACAAGGTTAGTGAGAAAAACTTACAGTCCTCGTTTCCAGTGAACTGAAGGGTGGAGAGATGTGACAGACCTAGTGCACTTTTCAAAGGAAGCAGATGTTTGCTGTCCTCCTCACTGAAGTGAAATGGAGTAAAAAAAAAAAACACCAGGCAGATGATAAATCTTTCTTCAGTGACAGTTTTGTTTTTGGCTTAACCTACTAAAAATAATAACTTCCTGCCTACCGAGATTCAAGTAAATCTCATTAACTCATTACTTTTTGGTGCTATCACTTGCATGGGGTGTAATTTGCTTATGGTGCGTGGCTTAAGGATTGAAAGATGTCTCTATCCAGGAAACACCAAGGTTGTTTGGCTGTTGAGAATTGTATCACTGTGGAAATTTGTCCCTTACTGGTAGATTTCAGCCATAAATTGTAACAATTAGAATGAACAAAAAGGTACATATGCATGCTAGAGTTACTTTGCTCAAGGTGCTTAAACTAATATAAAACCTCTATATGTTATTTAACCTTATATTCAGTTTTTAACATTTTCATACTCCAAACATGATAACAGAAATGGACTGTTTCTGTCCAGCAATTTCTTCAGTCCTATTTCCTACTTTAGCTATCAAATTATAACAGGACCTTGCTGTGATCAGAGTAATTTGTATCACTCTGTATCTCTGGCTCCCATTCATCTATTGATGACCCTTGTTTTAGCTCTAAGACTTACTGTTCTGTCATTTTGTTCCATCTGTATGTTTTCATAGTTGAGGATGGCCTACAGCCCCTTAGCTAATAAATTTGAGAAATAGAGAGCTATCAAACTGACTGCTTCAGCTTCACAGGTATGGGAATTGGTAGCTCTTTAATGGACTTAGATGGTGATATGGTGGCAAGTAATAAACACATTAACTGTCCATTAATTTTCTAACCACTTTATCTAATAGGGTTATGGGGGAGCCAGACTATCCCGGCAAGCAATGGGCATAAGGCTGGATACGCCTTGGATATGAAGCACTCACAGACACAAACACAGACAATATGTCTTTGGACTGAGGAAATCTAATCCACTGGAGAAAACCCACACAAACATGAGGAGAACATTCAAACCCTCATAGCACAAATGAAAGGGGAACTGCTATGCTAATTTATATTTTGGGGTTAGAAATGATCAGCATTGATGAGTGCATTTCAAACCCCAATCAAAGTAAAATGTACAACATAACTTAAAACCTCCAATTTACATAGTAAATTAGGCAAAATTTCCAGATATGCACAGCTCCATATTCTCAGATTCAAAATGAAGTAACAAAACCTTGGTGACATGATGCAGCCTTATTGCATTGAAAACAAGCAGGCTTGTTTTAGAGAATACATCATTTTTAATCCAATAGAAATATTTGACTATGAGATGGTTTTGCAGGAAAACACTACTTGTTAACCCTGCATGTACTGTAGATCATGCTGGAACATTTCTGCAGTGAAATGTCTGCTGCACAATCTGTACTTAATTCATTCATTCATATTGTACATCACATTACATTAGTCATTACAGTAACTAGTGAGCAGGAAGGGCAGTGTCACATCACAATTTCTGGACTCTCGCTCTTATCTGTGGTGAGACCAGGGGTTTGTGACAAGATGGTGACTTACACTGTATAGTACTTTCACAAAGTTCATGATTTTGTGCTTAATTTGAAATTTGTAGGAATTTTCTATACTGTCAATGAATTCATTTTGTTACCAAGATATAATAACCGGTCTGAGAAACTTGAATGGCGGTTTGCCTTTAAATCCAAGAATTGAACCCAGGGCCCAGTGTGATTTCACACTGTGCGACTCTTCTGCCCTAAACATATTATAAGGAGATACAATATGTTTATATTTACATTTTAAAAAGTTAAATTTGATTTTGAAAGTAATACACAACTTTATTACAGTACACACTCTTCAAAAAATTGTATTTATTTGAATTTTGTGTCTAAACATGCTTTTAAGGATTGCATTTAAGGAAAATCATTGTGCTTTTGCAATGCAAAAGAAAAACGTAACTGTCACCAAAAGTTGTATTTTTTATCAATAAGATCTATTGGATATAGATATCTGAGATAGTGAGAAAACCATGAACTCTTCATAAACCTTTTCTTCTCAACTGCAACCAATTGACTAATTTTCTACCCCCTGCTTTAAATTATTTGGATTATTTTGATCAATTGAATATCCTACAAATGATGTTTTGTAGTTAAAAAATATATTAAAGACTGCATTCTTTCTCAAGGAATCAACATTATTTATCTTGATAAGTGAAAAAGTGTTAAATTGCAGATACCAAATAACCCCTTGCTAGAGATTGTACTATTTACAAAAATTTATTGTATTTTTTTAAACATTTCGGTGGATACAGGGAGTTATAACAATGTGAATGTAGGTAGATTCCGATTTACATTATAGGACATACTGTATGTGTAATATATAATCATATACATTCAATATCCAAATGATATATTAATATGAAAATCAATATACTGTATATGAGGTCTGTTTTTGACCAGGTTCATTTTAATTTAAGGTAAATAGGAAATAAAACAGGGATCTGTCACCTTTTAACATGCAGCTTTAAAATGTTAATAGATGTTCCAGTACATGGACTACAAAAATTCTGTTAAATGAAAACACAAAAGTTATAGATAGCTGAATTGTTAGCTATTCTGCATACCTACACAGCTTGATGTTAAAATTTAGAAGCCTATGAAAGAATAATTGAGATAAGGATGTAATGAATCAATATCACCATCACTTAAAAATGGTATCAACATTTTCAGAAAGCCGAAATACTTCACAACTCTACTTTAGAGCAGTAATTCTAAATCAATATCCTATGTTAAACTGTATGTATGAGGCATTGTATGTTACTGACCTAAAGAAAGTCAACTGCATGTCTGTTCCAAATTGAGAACTTGCTCAGCTCACTTTGTAACCAGCATGTTAGCTTTCTCCCCAAATTAACGCACAGTGACTAATGAATGGTTTTATTCTTTTGGAAAACTAGTGAACTGTATTACTCTGCCTAGTGCCTTTTGTATGTGCTTATTACAGAATTTTAAGAAATCTGTAGGAGTAACTTCAGATAACAAGGAATAAAAATAGCATGAGGCTTAGACTGTTCTACCTTCTTCTAGAAATATCTGCTTTCTAAAGGCTATCAACAGGACTTAATGCAACAAGGAGAAGGAATGATAAAATATACCACCAACAACAAAAGACTTGTACTCTGCTGCATCATATTTTTTTGTTTTTTTTTTCCCGAAGAACTTGTTTTGTTTCCTCCCAAATTCTGTTTTCATTAGCCATGAAGCTTAACATGAGACAAGGCTTTCCCTAAGGTGATTCTCATTGAAGTCCTTCTGTTCCTTTTTGACAGTGTATTTCGTTTAGTGCTGTAATGGAAGAACTTGGCATCTCTCTTAAGTGTCACAAAAGTGTAAAGAAAAGGTCAAGGATCAAAGGAAGAGCAGGAATCTCGAGCATTCTAATGTGCCATCCCAAACGTATTCTGAGGAAAGAAACCATGACATAGACAATGGACTCCCTCAGTTTCCTGTCATGTAGGATGCACTGTAAGACATGGACTTCATTCTTGTTCTTCAGATAATCTTTGTATGAACTTGTTAATGCTTTTTAAAAAAAAATAATGCTGCCTATGAATATCCAGGTTTTATGATGATGCATTATACATCATTTTAACCTCCTAACAACAACAAAGAAAAGTTTTTTGTTTTGAGTGACATTAATTGAAAAATACAATGTTTTGAATAACACCCTGATCATCTCATTATGTATAAATCCCGCATTTTCCAGTGCTGTACCTGCTTTTCAAATAAAGATGTTTACATTTTTTTTCACAGCTCTCTTTCCTTTTTTTTCAAAAAGCAACTTTTAGGTGCATATGTAGCCTGTTTTGAGAACTTAGAAAAATATTTATGAAAGGCATTGAAAGACAAATATCACCATATTATCTCCCAAGTGTTTTTAAGAACACCATAGCATGTTAAAGCTTTGAACATTGCATAAAGTTCATGTAGGCCATTTAAATATTACATTGTTTTCTACCAATTTGTAGAAATTGGTAGTGTTTTCTTTTAAAAAAATAAAAGGTTTGCTTTATATCCAGTAAAAGCTAATAGTTTTAATATTTGAAATTAATAAAAGGAAATCTGTCTTGCTAAATTTATAGCATATTTTAGCACTTGGTGCCAACACCAACCCAGTTGTAGTTCAGACAGCAATGGTAATGGGTTCCCTCCCCCAACCGGGTGCAGTTTCAGTCCCTGACTCTCTCTTCCCACCCTGTGCTTTTCCACCTGTGGCGTCTGTGGACAGCCTCTCAAATGTACTGGACTCCTATGTGACCTCAAAACACCATCGCTATATAGAAGGGTTCTGCTTGGAACCCCCAAAAAATCATTCTCATTCATTCAAATGACACAAAAGGAACTGACAGGACCTGACATTCATTACTTCGCTCTCGATTCAATTATGAACCTAACGAGTCTGTTATTCTTAACATTTCCTTTGCTTATCTCATCCATTCTGTCCAACCCTCAATTCTCTGATGAACATCCTCAAGTGGTAACTCACTACCAGTTCCTACATCTCCGACACATCAGACCCACCAGGACTGACTGCTACAGCAGAAGTTTTCAGATTCTCTTTCGAAGTAAAGAGAATAATAAAGTAAATTACATTACACTACAAACATAGGAGGCCCAGATAATGTCTAATGAATAAGCTCTAGTGTTAGTCGCTACTAGAATATAGACTTGATAAAGTAGGAAAAAGAATGTGCTTTTAGACTGAACATGGTTTAAGCCTAAGAGAAAAATGGAATTTCCTTCATTGCCTCCTTGTCACACAATCAACTATGATCAGAAAGTGGCTCACAGGGTAAAAGGACGGATTACAACTTGAATAAGACTCCAGTCTGTTGCCAGGCACACACACAAGGACACACACACCTAACCTGTGTGAAATTGGGGAAGGAGATAATACTTTAGCTCCTTTTCAAAACATAAGTGGGGAAATCACGCAAACCTACAGTCTCACTCCAGAATCAAACTCTGCACTCAAGACCCTTAGGTCAGCAACACTAACCATCACACTATTATGCTGTTTCAGCTTTGCAAAAATACTAGAGTAGAGTGTAGAAATCCCCTAGTGACGGCCAAAACATACTTCAGTAAATTTCTACCCAGGCTTTATCCTTCACTGCCACTCCTTTCTACTTTTAAAGACAACTATTACATTATTTACTGGTGCTCAATATTGTTTAAGCTTGATGAGAATGTGTTTATGTTCACAGCGAGTAAGTGCATACACTAAAACCATGGTGATATATTACAGGGAAAAATATTCATTTATTGTAAATAAATTATTTTGTTTTCAGAAAACAAGGGATGACTGCTGAAGAACCAAAATATTAATTTAACTTGAATATGACCTTTTTTTTGTGACATGGCAAAAACAAACATAAATCCATCAGCTAAGTTACTAATTAGGAGTCATAGCTGTTTGATTTCAAAGGTCTTTGAAGCTGTGTGAACAAGGTGTGGCTTGTCAGGTTAGTTGTGTTAGTTAATCCATGTAATTAATGCTGATGCTGTCTTTGATATGAGCACCGTGAACCCGCTGGAATAGAACAAGAACATTCCCACTCCTAATGGCAGGGAAGTTCAGGCACTCAAGACGAATTACAGCTGATTTCATATTTGTCAGTGGTCTCTTTTACTTTTTTTTCAGATATGACTCAATCTGTTGTTTAAATAAACGGAGGGTTCAAGTCTCCTACAACTGTGTAGGTTGGGTTTTATCTCCAGTGCTGTTGAGAAATATCTTGCGGAGGTCTTCACGTATTTAGATAAAGAAAAACTGTCAATGAAGCAACTTGAGTTCTACACAGATTTTCAGTCTGAATCTCAGTCATGTGGCACAGTGGC